GTCCACTCGGCGGGGTCGCGGCTGCCTCTGGAAGGCACGGAGAGGTACGAAATGGCGCAAATGACCAAAATCAAGATTGTGTAACGCGAGCTGTGCCACAGTGAAATGGAACTATTCACTCTCTCTCTCTCCACACGCACACACTTTTTTGCGCAATGTCCAATGACAAGTCCGGCATCCGCACCGGCACACATGTGCATGCACATGCACATGCACATGCACATGTGCATGCAACATGCACATGGCCATGTGCATGCACGGGGGGCATACCGGCGGCTTTATTTTTTTACGGGAGCGGACGACACTCTGGGGGAGAGGATCGAGAGATACACACACACACCCTGGAGTGTGGAGAGATATCGGTTCGGAGACACGGCACACTTCGTTGCGAGGTTACAGGTTTCGGATATTGTATCCGATATTCTTATTTCTAGTGCCAGTGCGCGCCAGTCCCGTGCCCAGTGTTGTGCGAGGGAGTTTTGTTGTAAAATTCTTATTTCATTTTCGTACGCACCGGCACATCACACCGGTCCAAACCGCGCGCCTCTCGACCTCCACACGCCACAAATCGATATCCAGCTTCCAACTTCTTCGTTTCCTCCAATCCTCGCCGTTCTGACACATGGACATGCCTGTTGCAGCGCGCACACATCACCTGGCGTGCACGCACCCCCCACTCAACATCCCTAGGCCTTGCCTTTTGGTGCGACGGCGCCGGCCCTCACCCTCCGACCTTCCGGCCTCACGCGCGAGACGGGCACCCGGCGCGTCCCACGCCCCATGACGTTTGCGAGCTCACATGACTGCACAGCCGTCGCCCTTCTTGTACGCCTTGACGAGCTTGCGGCCGTCGACCCACGGCACCTTGCGCGAGCGCAGCGGGTCCCACACCTTTGGGCAGCGGTGGCGGTGGCGGTGAGCGGGGCAGCGGCGGCTTCAGAGGCGGGCTGGGTGGCAACGGCGAGGGTGGCGGCGGCGGCATGCAGCGGACGGGAGAGGTGAGGGTGGCGGCGGGCTCGGAGGCGGGCTGGGTGGCGGGTGCGCGGACGCACCTTTGGCAGCGAGGCTTGCACCGCCTCGAGGCCCTTGAGGAAGCCCTCCCAGTCGAGCTGCGGGTTGGGGAGGTCCTCCGCCTGTTCACAGCCGCAGCCCGTGAACAGCGCCTCGCTTCACTCCCGCTGCTCCTCCTGCGGGCCCCTCCGCCTTTGGGCCGAGGATGAGCTCCACCAGGCTCGCCATCTCGGGGATGGAGAGCTTCTTCTCGTCGAGCACGTCGAACACCTTCGCGTCGCAGCCCCACTCGCGGAGCCGGTGCAGCGCCGCAGAGTAGGTCAGCCAGCCGTTGTTCTCGCCAACCTCGGCCGCCTCGCCCATCAAGTCGTCCAGCACGTCCATGTCGAGCTCGAGGTCCTCGTCGACGGCGTTCCAGTACCGCACAACGTCCTCCGAGTCGGTGCAGAGCCGCACCACCACCCAGCACGGGAGAGACTGCAGCGGCCGCATCGCCACCTCAATGTCGCCGTCCGTCGCCGCGCCGTCCGACGCTATCACGACGACGACGCGCTGCCCGTTGGCGCGGAGCACGTCCGCCTGGGCCTGGATGCGAGCCGTCGCCTGCCGAATTTGCTCGCACAGCGGCGTGCGGCCGGTGGGTCCGCTTTTGATCAGCTTCTTGACGGCGTCCACCTCCGCCGCCGCGTCGCCGCCCATGCCGACGCTCAGCACCTGCGGCGAGCCGCCGCCGGGCGGGTTGAGCAGCCGCAGCTCGGTCGGCGCGCCCAGGTTGGCCGCCAGCGTGGCGTGCCAGATTAGAGAATCGCCCAGCTCGTCCCAGCGGCTGGCGTCCACCACGCCCTCGCGCCCGCCGGGTCCGCGCATGATGCGCTTGCCGTCCGTGGTCTGCATCGAGCCGGAGTTGTCGATGATCCAGATTCGCAGTGGGAACGACTCGTTGGAGCGGAGGAACGAGGCGTTGATCCCTGGCGGCATGCCGAGGTTGCGCAGGAAACCCTCTGAGGTCTGACGCTGCACTCGTGGCGCCGCCTGGCCACCCGCGACGTCGCCGACGGGGATGCCCTCGGCCACTGGAGGGTATGACATCTCGCCACGCGCCTCGTCGCGCTTCGGCCGTTCGCGCTAAGGTGGAAGAGAGAAAAACATCAGCGGAGAAGAGAAACTCCTTCATGGCAGGGCGAACCACTTTTCTCAACCTTTGTTGCCGGGTCGACCGCGCCCGAGTCAACGCCGCGAGCGCGATGTGCTGGCTTCTCGAATAGGTTCTCGAATGCTGCAAACGTAAAACTTTTTTTGTTTGTAAAACTTGAATAAATAAATAAATACAACGTACACGCCAAACGAGGGGTGGGAGAAGGACAGGGTCCCCACCTGCACGAGCAGGATCTTGTAAGGACGATCAGGGACACAGGGGAACGGGAGCGGGGAGCGCATCGCGACACGGAGGGGGGCTGGGCAGGGTTCACCCTCACGACAGGGTCCCAGGGATTCCTCTCTCGTATAGGACAGGTTGCACCCGGCGGCACGGGGGCAAGCGCGGGCCTCCTACTGGTTGCGCTCTCCTAGTTCTCCTGCTCCTGACAAGGGACAGCGACAGGCTCGCAGCACGGTGGACTCCCTATCCACTGGCGATCTCTCTCGACTAGCGACCTTCCTCCGACTTCTCACCGGCAGTCTCTTCTACCACAGGCAGACTGACACGTGGGTGGCAGTGGCGGTGATAGGAGTCTCCCACTCTGTGGGCCTCGCTAGAAGTGCGACCCCTGCGCGTGTCCTCGCCCTTGAAGGGGAAGGGGCTGTGTGTCTGTGCATGTGTACAACATGTGTGTGTGTGTGTGTGTGTGTGTGTGTGTGTGTGTGTGTGTGTGTGTGTGTGTGTGTGTGTGTGTGTGCTCGCTCGCTCGCTCTCGCGCGCCGCTTGCGCGATCGCGCGCGCGCGCTGCGCGAGCCGCCCTGCCCGCTGCGCTGCTAGGGTTGCGCTGCGGGAAGGGCTCGGCGGCCGTTCCTAGAGCTCCTCGTCGCTCCCCCCGTATAGCGAGGGCTCGTTGGACTCGAGGAGTGGGCCGCCGTCGTAGGGGGAGCGGGCGGCTCCGCGGGCGACGCTCGCCCAGTCCTTCTTGTTGCTCTTGACCTCGCCGCCGCCGCCGCCGCGGCCGCGGCCGCCGCGCCCGCGCCGCCCGCGGCTTGTGCCCAGCCTGACCGCGCTCGGCATGCGCTCGTAGATAGTGTCCTTGAAGGCGGAGTGGAGGAGCGCCTCGAAGTTGACGCACGGCGCGTAGCGGCAGCGAGCGGCGGTCTTGCACGGGAGGGCGGTCTGGTTGAAGGCCGGGCAGAAGCCGATCCCGTCGCGCGCCGCCATCGCCTTGGCCTTGCCCGCCGCGCGCGCGACCTCGACCTTGTTGTCGACGATGAGGCTCTCGAAGGTCTTCTTCTTGGCGACGTTCGCCGCTGCGGCGCGCCTCTCCTTGAGCGCCTGCGCGGCGCACTGCGCGTCGTGGATGATGTCGGCGTTGGTCAACCCAAATGCGCGGCAGGAGGGGCAGAGTTTGTTGCCGAGGACCTTGACGCACCCGACGTCGAGGCGGAGGGGTCCGCCGACATCGCCGCTCGCGTAGACGTTGGGCAGGACCGGGAGGTTGCAGACGAGGTTCTCGTTCTTCACCTTGAAGAGGATCGAGCCGTCCTTCTCGTCCGACTTCGTGCCCAGGAAGGAGTGGTATCCCTCCTGGATGGAGACCATGTTGCCGAAGTGCTTCTCCAAGAGGGGGGCGAAGTGCTCGATCTGGGCCGCGGTGTCGATGGCGCCGCGCGTGCGTATGGCGAGGAGGCCGTCTGAGTCCGTGGTCGCCTGGGTCTCGCGCGCCTCCGCCTGCTTGCCCCACACGGTGGCGTCGAGAGCGGCGAAGGTGATGGTGATGTTGTCTGGCGCTGGGAGCTGTAGGACGCCACCGCCGGTGTACTGCTCGAGGAAGGCGCGTGCCTCGCTCTCGCCGCTGAAGGCGACGCAGATGGCGCGCGACGTGCCGATGATGGGCACGCTGATCGCGCTTGCCTGCTGCGCCTCGCCGCCTGGTGTCTTCTTGATCAATTGGCGCACCTCGGTGACGAGCGCCGTCTTGTTCTGGATGTCCGGGATGTGCGAGCCGTCGCGCGCCGCGAGCGCGACGTGCAGCAGGCGCTTCGTGCCGCGGTCGGTGCCGGCGGCCGCCGCAGCGGCCATCTGTGCAGCGTCCACCATAATGGTGTCGCCTTCTTTGGCGTCGTCGTCGTTGACGCGCGCGCTCGCGAGCTCGCCGTCGAGGCGGCGCTTCACGCCGAGTCTCTGGCCATCATCGGCCTCTTGCGCGCCGTCGCGGCCGCGCGCCGCGCCCTCGGCAGCGGCAGCGTTGAGCACCGGCGGCGGCAGGCCGGCCGAAGCGAGCGCCATTCAAGTGAAGCGCCGTTCAAACTTGAAGAGAAATCACTGTGAGAGTCGTGATTTCTTGTTGGTTAATAAAAATCTCTCTCTCTCTAAAACGTCGCCATTTACTCGAATCGAACGCAGCACTTTTTCTTTGAGGGGCGGCACGCGCCGCGCGCATACGGGGAGGGAGAGACAACTCGACAGCGGCACACGCCTCCCTTCGGAGATAATTTTATTCTTTTTCTGGCACTTCTCGGCAAAATTCTTTTTCTGTGTTCGCCAAGTGTGGCCGTCCACAGCTGGGTCCACATACCCAACGCGGCCGAAGGAATCCACCCTCGAGAACCTCGAGAGAACATGGGCGCCTCGCAAAGCCGCCCTGCTCCCGACGCTTGCACAGCTTCGCCCTTGACTCCTCCGCCGCCGCCTTTTCCGCCGCCGCCCTCGCCATCGCTCTTGGGTCTCCCGGCGGAGCTGCTCGTCTGCATCTGCTCACGGCTCGATATCGAGGCGCTCTCGTCGCTCGCGTCGACGAGCCAGGAGCTTAGAGATACGATCCCGGACTCCCTGTGGCAGACACACCTCGACCGGCTGGCAAGGGCGGGTGGCGTGGCCGAGGAGGACGTCGCAGCCGCCGGCCGGCGCATCACCAACTCGATACAGCGGCAGGCGGCCATCCAGGCGGCCGCCGAGGCGGCGGAGGCGGCCGCCTTCAAATCTGCTCTCACCTCCCTCCTCGCCAGCTCGGACTCGTGCCGGCTGAGGGTCGGTCTCGTCCGGTCGATGGTCTGCAACCTCTGCCAGGCGAGTGACAGACGCGCCAGACACTGGTCGAGAGAGACTTGTGACGCAAGACGCCAGAGACTGCTGGTAGAGAGTGACGCACGCACCAGCTGCGCACGCACACTTCACCCAGCGATGCGCCCCACGGCTGGTCGAGAAGAACGAGTGGCGGCAACTGTCCGCCCCCTCCTCGCCAGGCGATGCCGAGCGGCGCAATCTACTTCACCTGCATCAAGCGAGGGGTGTGCCGGACGTGCGTACGCGCGAGGGTGTCGGCGGCGGACTCGTGGCGGTACCACCAGTCCCAGTTTGAGGCGAGAGCCGTGGCTCGACGCGACGAGGGGCGAGGCGCGCAGCTGCACGACCTCCTCTGCGAGCGGCTGCCTCCGTCTCTGCGCGGCGCCCTGCCGTCCCCGTCCTCGAGAGAGTCGAGGCACAGCCCATGACATGT